GATCAAAACCTATGAGTTTCTTTCTTCTGTTGAGCACAAAATAAGCTATTTTGAAGAATGTGTGTAACCATTTGCCGCCAAGACTACCATAGTATCGTTTTCCATTCTATGGAAGTCAATGACTACCGCCGACTGTTTGGTTACCAGCATTTTTCAAAATATCTTCTTTTGTGTTAAAAGATGACAGAATTGAACAGAATTGAGGGTGAACTATCCCTTTAAAGCTGTTTTACTTTGCATGGAGCAGGTCACAGCAGGGCCCGACCAGTTGAGATCACATGACCAGCTGAATGCCACTCGCTACCATTCAGTGCACCGTTAATGGCTTTGCAAGGCAAGCATCAAACCAATTATATTTGAACTGTATTTTCTAAGCACCAAGTAGCAGCAGCTGGTGATTGTACAGGTTGAAGCCACAAACTTGCAGAATCAAGTTATTTTAGGGCTTCATTTCAGCAGAAATCAAACGCTGAGCTCTTTAAAATTCCACATTTTATTGCATAATCTATATTTTGCTGACACTCAGCATTTGATGATGGATGTTAGAGCCGCACAGTGTGAATCCTCAAAGGAACTGTGTTAACGAGCTAGAAAAGTTGCTTTGAAGCCTCATTATTTCGTTAGGGGAACAGATAAGATACAAGATTGATTTACTGTAACGTAAAAATCCTCAAATCCTCATTCTTCATTTAGTGAATATAGGCAGAATTTTCATTAATATCAAATCTGTTATACATAGCAAAAGACATGGAGCATATTACATTGTAAAATTAGATTTGTAATCTGGATGCTAAAACAGTCTTATACTAGCACAATACAAAAATGTGGACGACACAAGAAAAAATCTGACTTCCGTCATCTTCCAACCCTGTTCCTCTCTCTTATATCTATAATTTTCAGTTTTCTCTATACCTCTGTCAATAAAAAAGGATAAATGAAATTATTTCAGCATTAAACAAAGGATATTATGACATTATGCTATTTTTGTTCTTACAGATTGGCCTTTTAATTTATCAAGAGGAAACCGATTATTTTTAATGTTCATGTAGGATTAGGAATAAAACTTTCTTGTGCGTCATAGATAAACCCAATATCAGCTTCTGCAAATATGCTTTGTGCTTTATTGCCATCTGCTGGTAAAGACAAGTGTATCCGGGTGTTATTTTTAAATATCCAATGTTACATTAAGTGCAGAATTAAATACAGAAAGTTTAAAAAATCATTAAACATTACAGATGTAAAGCTATAGCTTATGTACCTAATCAAAACATACACATTCAATAGGAAACAATCTTCCTATAAATTCCACACTTTACACTGTGTATGAAGAATCTTTTATTTAAAAACCATAAACCACCCAAAGCAACTTGGCATGTCATTTACTTCTGAGCAGAGTAAAAAACCATACTTGAGTAGAAGTGCAGATACCTTACAGTGAAAATTACTCCACTACACGTTACAAGTCACCAATTCCAAAACAACTTGAGTAAAAGCCTTAGAGTATCTGATTTTAACAGTACTTAAGTATTTTACTTATACTAAATATAGGCTCAAAGATGCACTAGCCAAAGAGACACGCCAGTCAAAAACTGTACCGTTGTGGAGAAGCTGGGGGAAAAGGCAGAGGCAAGGATCTATGTGCAGGTATTTCATGGAAAAACTAGAACAAACAATAAGCCAACAACCAAAGGGAACAAAGAACAGCATGACTGACAAACAGAAAACCATTACATTCAACAGCTCACAAGGAACTAAAGAAAAACTAGGGCTATATATACACACAGGGGGCTAACAAGCTTAACGAGATAAGACACACCTGGGGAGACTAATCAAGGGCAACCAATGAACAAACGGACTACAAACTGACTACAAACACCACGGGAGACAGGAAGTGACATAAAAGTCCAGGGCAAGGCACAGAGATGTAGGATTAGGAATAAAACTTTCTTGTGCATCATAGATAAACCCAATATCAGCTTCTGCAAATATGCTTTGTGCTTTATTGCCATCTGCTGGTAAAGACAAGTGTATCCGGGTGTTATTTTTAAATATCCAATGTTACATTAAGTGCAGAATTAAATACAGAAAGCCTTAGAGTATCTGATTTTAACAGTACTTAAGTATTTTACTTATACTAAATATAGGCTCAAAGATGCACTAGCCAAAGAGACACGCCAGTCAAAAACTGTACCGTTGTGGAGAAGCTGGGGGAAAAGGCAGAGGCAAGGATCTATGTGCAGGTATTTCATGGAAAAACTAGAACAAACAATAAGCCAACAACCAAAGGGAACAAAGAACAGCATGACTGACAAACAGAAAACCATTACATTCAACAGCTCACAAGGAACTAAAGAAAAACTAGGGCTATATATACACACAGGGGGCTAACAAGCTTAACGAGATAAGACACACCTGGGGAGACTAATCAAGGGCAACCAATGAACAAACGGACTACAAACACCACGGGAGACATGAAGTGACATAAAAGTCCAGGGCAAGGCACAGAGAGCATGAAACAAAAACAAGAAAGAGATTTGATTTGTGAGGAGAGCAATCATGTTTATTTTCTAAAACCAAAATAAAACTGAACACCTCAAAATTACAAAACAAAACAAAAACAAACAAACAAAACAATATCTTTCAAAAAGGTCTCTTCATTATAATAGATAAATAAAATAATGTTGCAGTCATGTCCTCGTCTCATATATAAAGCACCTGTCTTGTTGACAAGTTTGGGTAAGGGCAAAACGCACAAGATGCAGTACTTTCAGTGACCTGTAATAGGCAGTATCACGTCTTTTGTAGCAGAAATAAACTGCTGCAGAAAAAAACTAGGTCCATGCAATTGTAATGTGTAACTGCAACACTCATTTCAAATGTAGTTGAGTAAAGAGTACAGATACTCATTCAAAAATGTAGTGAAGTAAAGAGTAAAAGTTGCTCATATCTTTGATACTCAGTACAACTACAAAGTATCCGAAAAGATACTCAAGTACAGTAACTAATTACATTTACTCCAATACTTTACACCTCTGCTTCACTTGAAACAAAGCAGAGCAGCTTTATCATAATGACATGCACATTAAAACAAGCTTATCAGGGTGAAAAAAGAAGCAAACAAAGCAATAACCAACCTGACATGCTTTTCTAATTGAACAAATGTTTATTATGATTGAGACGTAACTTATTAAATAAACATTAGCATTGTAAAACAAGTGACATGTAATGCAACACAATCTTTTCATTCATTCACAAAACAAACAAACAAACAAAAATCCATTAGACCCATGGTGATCTTTGAATGCAAAACAACTCACTTCCTCATTTACAAGCAGTGCATGTAAACAATGATTAATGCTTAGCAAAGCTCGTCCAGATCTATTATATCATATAACAACATGGAATTGGATTGATATGATCTCTGATCTCATGTACAGAAGTGAACTACTTTGACATCACTGAATGTAATTGACCAACCAAAGAAAAAACTAAAATGTTTCAACAATATTTGTAGGGGATCAAAATGGCATGTATTGTTAGAATACTGTGATTTTACTTGGAGTCTAATACACTGTATAACATCTGTTCAACTGTGAAAATTCATCTCTGTCCATTTAAACCAATGTCTCCTGTCAACATTAAACTAATTAACTACTTTGACATCACTGACAGCAGGGCTGTTTAATGTAATTGACCAACCAAAGAAAAAACTAAAATGTTTCAACAATATTTGTAGGGGATCAAAATGGCATGTATTGTTAGAATACTGTGATTTTACTTGGAGTCTAATACACTGTATAACATCTGTTCAACTGTGAAAATTCATCTCTGTCCATTTAAACCAATGTCTCCTGTCAACATTAAACTAATTCTAACAGAGCATCCAGATATGTTGTACTCTCTAGCTCATTAAACCTGAGGTCTCCCAACAATAACAAAATCAACCAAAACCTCCTCATTCAACAGATAACAGCAAGGTTTGATATGGTTCCTTACTGATTTATTTTTGTGTCGAGCAGAGCAAAGCAGTATTGAACAATACAACATAACATTTGGCTAAGGGCCCCTCATGTTTTTAACGGCAGATGGGCTCAGCTTCTTTGTCCTCTGGGAACAGTTAGAGGAACCAGTGGTTAAGAAACTGATTATTATCACACTGGCACAGGCACATAAATTGGTCCAACACAGAGGAAACTGAGGCACAGGAGGTTTGACAAATTGATGAACATTATAGGTTGATCAAGCATCAAATATAACCTATCCAGCAGAATCATACTCTTCTCCCTTTACTCTTGGCAACATTCAATCAATCACATATGGAGAAAACATTAAACTAATTCTAACAGAGCATTGTTGTACTCTCTAGCTCATTAAACCTGAGGTCTCCCAACAATAACAAAATCAACCAAAACCTCCTCATTCAACAGATAACAGCAAGGTTTGATATGGTTCCTTACTGATTTATTTTTGTGTCGAGCAGAGCAAAGCAGTATTGAACAATACAACATAACATTTGGCTAAGGGCCCCTCATGTTTTTAACGGCAGATGGGCTCAGCTTCTTTGTCCTCTGGGAACAGTTAGAGGAACCAGTGGTTAAGAAACTGATTATTATCACACTGGCACAGGCACATAAATTGGTCCAACACAGAGGAAACTGAGGCACAGGAGGTTTGACAAATTGATGAACATTATAGGTTGATCAAGCATCAAATATAACCTATCCAGCAGAATCATACTCTTCTCCCTTTACTCTTGGCAACATTCAATCAATCACATATGGAGAAAAAGAAAAGGTACACTACCGTTTAAAATAAAATAAAAAAATCGCAAGAGCTCTTATGTTCACCAAGGCTACATTTTTGATGCATATTTGATCAAAAATGCAGAAAAACACATATATTATTACAATATGAAAATAAATGTTTTTTAATATATATTTTAAAGTGTAATTTATTGATATAATGGCAAAGCTGTTTTTTTTAGCAACCATTATTCCAGTTATCAGTGTCACATCATCTTTCAGAAATCCTTCTTATATGCAGATTTGGTGCTCAAGAAACATTTTTTATTATTATCAATAACGGTTGTACTGCTTAATAGTTGTGATGAAACCATGCTACTTTTTCATTAAACAAATGATAATATATATATATGGGAGTGTTTCTACTTTACAGAGCTGTCACCGGGACATGTGATTTCTCAGGACCTATTTTATTGATATCTGTCAGCTAGTGAGGGCACTCTCTGTCTTGACTATTATAAAAATGTAAAATAATGGCTTAGAGCACCTGTACTGTAAATGTGCAACAAAATCAAAAACATCACAAGGCAATTTTAAACAGCAAAAGCCCATGAGCAAATACTGAAAGTGCAAAAAGTCTTGCTAGTGCAATGAGCCCTTCAATCGTGTCAGTACTTATTGTGCTTAACTTTAAAGGCCATATTGACGACGTATCAAACACTCAATGACACTTACGTTTTCTTAAACAAGTTCTATTATAGCTACATATTCATTCAAACGTGTCAATAAATATGCCTTTGTAAGAACAATATCCCTTCATAATTGTTGTAACTACTGAAAACAATGTTCAGACAGCTCTGCAAAACAATCATCCACATAATTATATGAATGTTTGGAAGCTGCAGACAATTTGGATGTAGGTGTGCGAATGACTGTGGTGCATGGCTTAGGTTTGGATGGATCTTTCTAGCTCTGCCAACTGTGCAGTCTCACTGGTCTAACATTTTATCCCACAGAGATTTTTCTGATTGGCTGTGATTTTTGTTGTTTCAGCCAGTGCTTCAAATTAGACGTGTTGTACTGATTGCTCCTCCTTGGTCTGGCAGCAGTGATCCCTTGACTCACCTAATATGCTTCCCTGAGACAGGAAGAGATAGTCTGACTTCATGCCAGTTCTTTTGATAAAGTCTGTGGTCCTCTGATTAGTGCATATCTCTAGTCTGTCCTCCCTGGCAGTTTATGTTGCCAAACGCTGATGATTTAGACTGGAGAGGTAGTCACAATATCACACAGTGAAGCTTGTGAGAACTCATGGCTCTGTCTCCACGCCACTTTGTCTTTTTCTTCTTTTTCAGACTCCGCTCTGGAACTTGCTGTCTAAAAAGGCAAAGAATGAATGAAAGAGAAATGTGTCAATTTAAATAATACTCCCAGATTCAAACTTTTAAGTACCCCTGTAATGTCCAAAAACGTCTGGGTAGGCAGAAGTAGATGATAACAGTTTTATCTTTCTTGTATACCATCCTAGTTCATCATTATGAAAAGACAAACCCCATATGTGAGATTATGAGTTTTATTTACCTGATAACTCTGACTAATTCATGAAAGGCTCTGTCCACATTCATTGGAGGATCCTTGGCACTTGTTTCAATGTAAGTAATCTAAAGAAATAGTTAAGAAATAGAAATGATTGGTCGGCACCGATAGCCTTGTGGTCAGTGCCTTGTCTTATAGTGCAACTGTGCACACAGTGACCCGAGTTCGAATCCTGCCTTGAGGTCCTTTGCTGATCTCGCTTCCCTCTCTCCACCCAATACTTTCCTGTCATCTCTCCACTGTCCTCTCAAAATAAAAAGCCCATAAATATAACTTAAAAAGAAATAGAAATGAGAAATTACTGCATGAAGTCACTCATTTTTTTCAGCCTTTAAAAAGAGCAGAAGTTCCTTAAACACTTCAAAATGTACATTTGACATTTTAAATAGGAGTTTTATGTAATAAAGTAAGATTTTTTTGTACTGTACATGTTCAAATATTTTGATGAATATAATGGATTATTATGTATACAAGATCAGAAAAATTACAAAAATATATACTACTGTTTGGAGTCAGTGAGATTTTTTTAGATTAGTACTTTTTTTTTTTTGGAAACAATGCATTAAATTGATCAAATGTCTGCAGAAAATTAGACTTCTTTCAAAAGCATAAAAAATGTACAGACCTCACATTTTTGAATGGTAGTGTATATTTATGTTTATGTATATTTGCATGTGGATGGATGCTCCAAAATTCGACAAACAAAAAGTGCCATAAAGGTAGTAGCAGTCATACTGGTTTGGAATGGCATAAGGGTGAGTATGACAGAATTTTAATTTTTGGTTAAACTAACCCTTTAACTAACCCTTTAACCGCTGTCAGTCAACACACACACAGACGTAAACACTCTTATTAATTGTGGGCTCACTAACAGTTCAATTCCACTGTTGTCAGTCCTACATAAAGTCGTGATATTGGTTGGACTTACGTTGTGTTTGGCTGCCATCTCACAGCCCTGTTCATTTGTCACTTTCCTCAGATGCACCAGGTCCACTTTGTTAGCCACCAAAACCATAGGGAAAGATTCCCTGGTGAAGACAAGATATGTTAAAATATGTTAAAAACAAAAAGATAAAGGAAGGAAAGAATATACTGAGCTGTGGACTTGAGTTTGGTATGTACACATGATTTCTAACCGGTCTTTGACTCGTAGGATGAGCTGGTGAAAGCGGTCGATGTGTTCAAAACTGGCCTTGTCCGTCACAGAGAACACAATGAGGAAACCATCTCCAGTCCTCATGTACTGCTCTCGCATGGCACTGAATTCCTCTTGACCTGCTGTGTCTAAAACTGCAAGGAGTGAAGGTAACAGGGACAAGATAATGACCAGGTCAAACTGTTGTCATGTTATACAATGAAAAATAAAGTTATTAAAATATTATCAGAAAAATATTTAAACTCTTTCTATTTACAAATAATATTCTCTAGATTGTCTATAGTTTCTACCCACCATCAGAGTATGTTTACATGAACCAACCAGTCTTTAGAAGGCAGAATGAATTTTTAACTTCTTTCTTTTTATTATACTATTTTATAATACTATTATTTTCCTTTTTGATCCCCTATAGTAACTTCAAACCAAACCGCTACCAACAAGATTTTTGCTGGATTTTCCATTAGCCATGATTTTTGTTGAGCTGTAATAATGCTAAAAACTCGATATAGGCCTACTGATAGGCTGCAAATACACATAACAGTATGGGAGCACTAGAAGCATGAAAATTACTACACATAATGAGGTGTTGGCACATACCATCCAAAATAGCCCACTGGCCATCGATCTCTGTGTGTTTCAAGTAGGAGTCTTCTATAGTAGGATCGTAATCTGGCACAAAAATCTTTTGGAAAAACTGGATGGTAAGAGCACTCTTTCCCACGCCTCCATCTCCCACAACCACCAATTTATACGTTGGGAGGTTGTCGCTAGGGACCGCACTGGTTGCCATGATAACAGCTACACCTGAGGAGAGAGAGAGGAGAATGTTATCCCTGACCATTATTTAAGATTAAGCATTAGGTAGATGACAGTTATGAGGACTTCTCGTGTTTTATATGAAATAAAGAAGCTGAAAGTACTGATGAAAGTTCAAATGAGGTTTTCTGTGGTTTGGGAATAGTTCTGCAGAGCTAATTTAGGATAAAGGGATGCATTGCAAAGGATATGGTCTAGACACAGACAATGTGGTTCTTTGTAATTGCTGTTATTTTCTGCACAACACAAGCCTTGAATCTTCCAAACCCAAGTCTGTTTTATTTTTGATTACAATCTAAAATAAAATAAAACATTTTTTTTTTTATTAAACAAAGCTCCATGAAGTTTCTAGGAGAATGTAAGGACGAGAATAAGATGTCAAAATGTTGATGATATTCATATATTTATTTATTATAAAAGATCATTTTTTGCCTTGCAAATGTGTTTTTAAATACAAAGGTATCTTTGATTCTAGTACAGAAGAGGGGAGAAAATTTTTTAAATATATAAAATGTACCATAAAGTACAAATGCACCATTTGCACTTACATTCCTTAAGCTACTTAAAAAAAAAAAAAACCAATACAGAGACTGGCCGTGTAAAACTATTAAGCAAGATTCTGCCCCAATGTTATTATGTACAGACCTATGGTGAAATGACCATTTGAACCTAAAAGTTGTATGAAAATAAGTAAAAACACGTTCTTACCTATAAAGACAATGCTAGGAGCAGAGCGAAGAGTTTGAAGATGTCAGCTAGGCTAACGAGGAAGTGTTTGCCCGGCCCGTGAGCAGGGCAATGTGTGCTATTCAAGAGGAAAAGTCTGTCAGTGGGTGACAGCCACCCCTTCCTGCGGCCCACAATGTGAGGAAGGAGTAAACTTCCTTCCTAATTCCACCAGGCCTGAATATTTGAGTGATCTCGCTTTCATAAGGGAACTATGAGAACCTCTCGACCAAATACACCCATGAGAAAGACCTCAAACTGACCTCTTATGATCACAGTTCATGTACTTTAGTTGCAGGCAATAGGCGGAGTTCATCCAAAAATTAAAATGGTAATTTATTTCCTCATGTTGTTCTGTATGACTTTAAGTGGAAAGTTTTTTTTCTCTCTCTCTCCAGTGTTTTAGCTAAATTTTCTTCATCAGCAAGTAAATTCAAAATAGCTAATAAAGTGCAAAGAACTTATCATGTGAATTCTAACTTTATTATTATAACAAAATAAATAACATTGAGAAATAATCAAAGGGTTGTACCAAGTTAAAATAAATTAATAACTGTACAGTTCTGATTTTATCTTTTCACATTCAGATAAACCTATAAAAGAATTAAGACAAAAACAAGACACTGACATAAAAAGCTAGACTTTTTGTCATAATTATTTAATGACTTACCTTTTAATGTCATAATTTTGACTTTGTCATTATGACTTACTATCTCATAATTATGACATTTTATTTTCTAATTATGATTTCAACTTAATTTATTTTTCTTCTTATGTGACAGAAATTGACCGCCTTTCATATTTCATATCTGCCTTATAAACCTTTCATATTTATGAATAATTTTAGATGATCTAATTGCTTTTTATGCTTACACAGAACAGTATTGTTTATAGTATTGTTTAAAGTCTTTTATTAAAAAAATGGGTTGGAGCCAGACTGGGACGCAATTTCAGGCCGGGAAATCTCACACTCATCCAGGCCACACAGAAAAAAAGGGGCCGAAATTTTACCTTTTGGGGTACAACAGCTTGTCACTGGAGCAGTACTCTTAAAAGGACATCTTTGTAAGTTTTTTTTTTACCCCTAATAGGTACATATTAGTACCTTAGAGTAGTAATTCATACCCTTAAGGTACTAATATGCAGGCCTACACTCTTAAAAATAAAGGTGCTTCAAAAGGTTCTTCAAGCGATGCCATAGAAGAACCATTTTTGGTTCCACAAAGAACCATTCCGTCAAAGGTTCTTTAAAGAACCATCTCTTTCTTACCTTTTTGTAATCTGAAGAACCTTCTTTCGCCACAAAGAACCTTTTGTGAAACAGGAAGGTTCTTCAGATGTTAAAGGTTCTTTATGGAACCATTTAGACAAAAAGGTTCTTCTATGGCATCATGAAGCACCTTTATTGTTAAGAGTGTACCTATTAGAGGTAAAAAAAGGAACAAAGATGTCTTTTTAAGGGTCCTGTTCCAGTGACAAGCTGTTGTACACCAAAAGGTGCGATTTTGGGCTATTTTTTTTTGTATATAGCCTATTATCCACAACAATTTCTGAAACTACAGGCAACCCTATTATTTGTATGGCCATCACATAAAAAGGTCTAAATCCTTAGTCTGGGGCCGTGGAAAATGCTATTTATCTTAAAATGACTTAAATACCCTAGATTTAACAAACCTATGTTTCATACAAATATACACTACCAGTCAAAAGTTTTTATGATTTTTTAAGTTTTTAAAGAAGTCTCTTCTGCTCACCAAGCCTGCATTTATTTGATCCAAAATACAGCAAGAGCAGAAATATTGTGAAATAGTTTTACTATTTAGAATAACATGCTGTCGATTTGAATATATTTTACAATGTAATTTATTCCTGTGATCAAAAAGCTGAATTTTCAGCATCATCACTCCAGTCTTCAGCGTCACATGATCCTTCAAAAATCATTCTAATATGCTGATTTGTTGTTCAAGAAACATTTATTATTATTATTATCAATATTTAAAACAGTTGAGTCCATCAGGATTCTTTGATGAATAGAAAGACCCAAAGATCAGCATTTATCTGAAATAAAAACTTTTGTAACATTACACTATATACCAAAAGCTTTGAGGAGGGGGGGGGGTAAAAAAATGGGTTGGAGCCAGACTGGGACGCAATTTCAGGCCGGGAAATCTCACACTCATCCAGGCCACACAGAAAAAAAGGGGCCGAAATTTTACCTTTTGGGGTACAACAGCTTGTCACTGGAGCAGTACTCTTAAAAGGACATCTTTGTAAGTTTTTTTTTTACCCCTAATAGGTACATATTAGTACCTTAGAGTAGTAATTCATACCCTTAAGGTACTAATATGCAGGCCTACACTCTTAAAAATAAAGGTGCTTCAAAAGGTTCTTCAAGCGATGCCATAGAAGAACCATTTTTGGTTCCACAAAGAACCATTCCGTCAAAGGTTCTTTAAAGAACCATCTCTTTCTTACCTTTTTGTAATCTGAAGAACCTTCTTTCGCCACAAAGAACCTTTTGTGAAACAGGAAGGTTCTTCAGATGTTAAAGGTTCTTTATGGAACCATTTAGACAAAAAGGTTCTTCTATGGCATCATGAAGCACCTTTATTGTTAAGAGTGTACCTATTAGAGGTAAAAAAGGAATAAAGATGTCTTTTTAAGGGTCCTGTTCCAGTGACAAGCTGTTGTACACCAAAAGGTGCGATTTTGGGCTATTTTTTTTTGTATATAGCCTATTATCCACAACAATTTCTGAAACTACAGGCAACCCTATTATTTGTATGGCCATCACATAAAAAGGTCTAAATCCTTAGTCTGGGGCCGTGGAAAATGCTATTTATCTTAAAATGACTTAAATACCCTAGATTTAACAAACCTATGTTTCATACAAATATACACTACCAGTCAAAAGTTTTTATGATTTTTTAAGTTTTTAAAGAAGTCTCTTCTGCTCACCAAGCCTGCATTTATTTGATCCAAAATACAGCAAGAGCAGAAATATTGTGAAATAGTTTTACTATTTAGAATAACATGCTGTCGATTTGAATATATTTTACAATGTAATTTATTCCTGTGATCAAAAAGCTGAATTTTCAGCATCATCACTCCAGTCTTCAGCGTCACATGATCCTTCAAAAATCATTCTAATATGCTGATTTGTTGTTCAAGAAACATTTATTATTATTATTATCAATATTTAAAACAGTTGAGTCCATCAGGATTCTTTGATGAATAGAAAGACCCAAAGATCAGCATTTATCTGAAATAAAAACTTTTGTAACATTACACTATATACCAAAAGCTTTGAGGAGGGGGGGGGG